GAATTTTTTAGGCATTGAGCTTTAGTTTACCATCGTATTAATAGAAATATTTATGGATTTTATCCAAAATTACTATCAATTTTTTAGGTTTGTAGTTTAGGTTAGAAAAATTATGAATAACTGAGTCAATAGTTAATTTGTGTTAATATATAGATAATGAATCGAAGTTGGATGAATGCAAGTCGCATTAGTCAAGAGTACAGAATGCAAGTCGCATTAGTCGCATTATATACTTTTTTTAAGGTTTAATTGTGTTTTTAGTCCTTTAAATTTAAGATAAATTTATTTTTGGTCCCTCAAATTTAAAATCATTATTTTTAATCCCTGTAATTTTTAAAAATCTTATTATAGTTCCTCAAATCACCAATAATATATCTGAAAGCAACAAATTAAGACGATTATACTATATCAATTGAATTTAATGTGATATTTTCACTAATAAGGACACTAATAGGTAAATTTTATGTAACAATATTTGATAAAAAAAAATTTAACAAAATTTGAATATAAAAACTAAAATAAATTTTTTTGAAATTACAAAGACTAAAAACATCAATTTTAAATTTGAGAGACAAAAAAAAAATATCCTAAATTTGAGGGAAAAAAAACATATTTTAGCTTTTTATTTAGGAGAGATAAATTAGTACGTTATAACTATAATTACAATAATCCTAGCATGTAAAAGCAAGTGAATACATGCTAACAAATAGAGTTTGCTAACGTCACTTTTTTTTTTTTTTTAATGTAATTTAGTATGTTAAAACCAATGTTATTAAATAACTGTAGTCACATTCTACGATTGGAGATTAATTTTTTTTAAGTGAATGAATTAACTGCATGTTTACACATGGCACGATATTTATATACCAGTTGCTTAAACGAACATGAGCATATTCATGTATAACTGTCAAAACAGTGTCAAGAATAATGCCTAGCTAGTAGTTGAAAAGCAACTTCTATTTTGGAAAACATGAGAACTGAATAGATTTGGATGCTCAAGATATGAGATTAAATGAGGATTTTTATTAAACATGACCAGTGGTTTATATAACCAATCGGTTTAAGTCCTTATTTAATAAAATAATACGAATTTTTATCTTTTATATGTTCATATATCATGGTAATTATTAATAAATCCTTGGTCTGAATAAAATTGTGTTTAACTCTATCAAACAAGATTTTAATTTTAACTTTTGTGGATGAAAAAAAAAAGTTGGATAAGAGATTTCATTAAAATTAATCAGCTAAATTTGTTGACAAAAATTAATTATTAATAAAATTAGTAAATATTTTTATTTTGTTCAAGATGATTAATGTAATGTCTCAAAACAATTCATTTGAGCACCAATATTATGGTTAATAAAAATAATATATATCATGTTACTGAGGAGAAGATCTAAGTTGAAAATACAAGCTTCTAAATGATTATGCTTTGATGATATCTGTCATCGTGCATGCATGTTGAAAATTAAGCACCAATGTGTCTATAATAACTAATAAGTAAAGAATAAGAGCTGAGTGGGAATTGGGAATCCATTGTTTGTGGTTTCTATAAGAGAATAATTAAGTTCCTTGACTTGAGAATCTTAACGGTAGACTTTTAATTAATTTGATTTCTTGAGATTTTCTTTCGATTCCATGGAACGTACGATAAAGCTTTTTTTGGCTCAAACAGATAATGTGTCTTATCATTATTTTCACTATGATCAACAAATAGTTCCCAAGTGATTCTTATGTGAGATAACTACACCTTTTATGTGTACATCATTGAAGTACATTGGTCAGCAACCTCGCAAATACAGGTGGATTTTTTCTTTTTCTTTTTCTTTTTCTTTTTGTTGTTTTACTTTTGATGTCGGGTAAATGATTATACATATTGACCATTATATTTTCGTTTAAATGGTCAAAATTAAAAGTAAAATGTCTATTATGTTTAAATTGGTGGTAATGAGTGAAATAGAAAGGGATAGATAAAAGGATAAGTTGTTACATTGTTTTGTTTTGTATGTAATACAACATAATGGAAGAAAATAGATCATGATTCACTCAATTTCATTACTTAACTCCAATTTTCTTTCCTCTAGGGGTGCACTAAATAGGGCAAAAGTTTTAGATTATATAATGACTAGTTTTTTTCCTTATAAATTTTATCCTAATCGTCCTTTCAAAATAAGAATGACATGAAAATTAAAAAGTTAGAACTCATCTCGTTCCGTACTTGATTTTTTCAAACAATGGATGAATGTTGTGTTCCACTCTATTATAAAATATCTAAACAATGAAATAACATTTTTATTCTATTTCATTCCGATTTATCCTATTCTATTACATTATTATGATCCAATTCCATTCTCCATCACCGGTTCAAACACAGCCTGAAGTATGTGGTTAAGTATACGTACGGTCCGACTAGGGGATAATCTATTTTATCCAAAAATACCTGAATTAAACACATATTACTTCTCTTTTGAGAGAAAATTGTATATATGGGTTTAAATATATTTTATTTCGTATAATTTTATTTATTTTAATTTTTAATTCTTATCACATACTATTTTTCCTATTTTAATCTCTGCCATATATTTTTTCATTAATGGTGTTTATGTTATAATGTGGTGATCATCATTTTGATGTGACATTTTTTAAATGTGAATTTTTTATTTAAACATATTTTTGGGTTCCTATCATTTCAATTACTTAATCCCTATAATTTTATTTACTTCCCATTTTAGTTTTTATGTAGTTTAAAATATCTCATTTGCTATAAATTAGTTTTTTCCCCTTTTAGTTCTTATATAGTTTATTTTTCATTAATATCATTTGTGTTGTAATGATATGGCAAAGATCATTACAAAGTGACATTTTTTATATTATTTATTTATTTATTTGAGCTATCCTATATTAAATTTCATCCTCTTACTACAACGAGTTTGTGTTTCTTTTTAAATTGGGGACTACGATATTGAGTTTTGATTGTTCATTTCTCATAACAAATTGGATGTTGATAGTTTCGATCTATAAAATGTTTGAGTTTTATTAACGTATATAAGCACGAGTGGGAGGTTTACAGTAGAAGGTATGTTCATAACAATTTTTTCATTAACAAACCATATTTGAATAGTAACCACAACTGTTAAAATGATATAGGAGATATGTTTAGATGTTGCTCTATCCACCCATTTAAAATACCCACAACTGCATACTTCTATCAAGAATCCAACAATATCTATAGTTAATAGTGGGAAAGGGTCAATGACTACAAAAAAATTATCATATAACAACACATACTTTATAGTAACATAATACGTGTTTTTAAAAATTACTTTTACACACACAATAAATACAATAAAATGTTAATATATTGTTAAAAAGTGAGTATAGGCTATAGTGATGTACAAAATATGTTGTTAAAATTCATTTAAAATCAACACTAAAATTATGTGTAACAATATATCAAATAGATGTTGTACTATCCGTACAACTATGCCGAGCTCGAGCTCGGCATCACAGCGCGGAGTGACCTCGGACACGCGCTAGGCGACATCGGCTCGCTATCCCGTTAGGGCATAAACTGATCTCGGGCCCAAGGTCCAACAAAACTCTAATACACACAAAGGTACGTGCATTACTTATACGAGACTCATACACCCACAAACACTAACTTTAGCATCAGAGTCTCTTTTGCAGGTACCACCCCCACCTTGGAGCAACAAGCGTACCAGTGAAGGAAGCTCATCGATCTTACTTGGCGGATCATCTCTACAGCAGATCTCCAGTAAGAACATTTGGCGCACATCGACCTCTATACTACACAGGTAAACCTTGACACTAATGAGGATGTTATTCTGTGTCGGGTCTTTCCGACCTCGCTCAAGGGGGCTGCACTCAACTGGTACACTCAGCTACCTGCCCAGTCAATTGATAGCTTCGGCACCCTGGTCAGACGATTCATAGCGCAGTACGCAACGAGTCGACCTCGACAACATGACGTCGGCTGCTCTGGCCAGCCTTAGACAGGGGGACGATGAACCACTGCGGACGTTCATGGAACGCTTTGCCGGCATCTCGGTGCAGGTTCAGAACCTGAAACCCGAAGTCGCCTTACACGCCATGCTCATGGCACTCAAGCCGGGACCGTTCGTCGACAGTCTGTGCCGTGAAGCCCCCTGACACAAGTTTTTAATTTATGGGCACAAGGGTTAGCTATGGTTTCTAATAGAATGATGCTAAAGCTAAACTGATCTTAATAATCTTCATGTAGTTTATAAATCATCTACTGCTTGAATCTATATTCACTTTGCCTAGTGTGCTAGAACTTACAATTCTTGTTCTGTTTTAGAAAAATCTTCAGTAACATGTTATTTCAATGAATGACCAATATAATTAATATAAGATGTATTTAATTTTGGCCATATTATTTATTTAAATTTCCAGTTTAATTATGATAATGTTATGTAGAGATTGCAATTCAAGTAGTGAAGGTGAACACCATGACACATGTTTACTTGTAAATAGTTGGTTACTTGATTTGGATTTTTTATGTTCCTTTCAAGACATGAAAACAAAATCAATCTTTTGAAACTTAGCCAAAGAATCAGTTAATTATAAAATAGAACCTGCTCACTATTCTGTTGTAACTGGTAAACTAACATTTCCGGTAACCCCATCACTACTAGGGTTATTTTCTGAGGAGGAGTACCAGGTACTTCCTTTCTACAGTTCTCTTTTTTCTTTTCCCCAGATCTTCTCTTTCTTTAATGACTGGTGGGAGTGGTGTCGGCTCTTCTGCGCCTGCCAGGGGCAAGGCGCGCGGTAAGGCAGTGGCTACCGGGAGAGCCGCCGCTGAGAAGAGGGATCCGCCTCCGCCCCGGGGACCGGAGCCAGGCATCCCTGGCTACGACTGGGTCAAGCGTGAGATGGCGGGGGTCCAGAGCATTTTTCGGTCCTTTCTTGAGGTTAACGGGATCCTAATGAAATCATGTTTTTTTCCTTGAAAGATAATGTACTATCCGCAGCAGCAACAAGCTAAGAACATGCATGCTTTAAGGATGCACAACCCTACTGAGAGGCATATGATGATGCAAGGAGGCAATGGAACTGGTGATTCAGGACTTGTTCTTTCAACTGATGCTAAGCCTAGACTAAAATGGACACCAGATCTTCATGAACGGTTCATAGAAGCAGTCAATCAACTTGGAGGAGCAGACAGTGAGTCTATGCACACAATAGAAAAATTGTGAATCAGAAAATGGTTATTTTGAAGCTAACTTATTCTTTCTATGCAGAAGCTACACCAAAAACAGTATTGAAACAGATGGGGATTCCTGGACTTACTCTCTACCATTTAAAGAGTCATCTACAGGTAACATGTTATTTCAATGAATGACCAATATAATTAATATAAGATGTATTTAATTTTGGCCATATTATTTATTTAAATTTCCAGTTTAATTATGATAATGTTATGTAGAGATTGCAATTCAAGTAGTGAAGGTGAACACCATGACACATGTTTACTTGTAAATAGTTGGTTACTTGATTTGGATTTTTTATGTTCCTTTCAAGACATGAAAACAAAATCAATCTTTTGAAACTTAGCCAAAGAATCAGTTAATTATAAAATAGAACCTGCTCACTATTCTGTTGTAACTGGTAAACTAATTAGCTTTTGTAACAGAAGTAAATTTCAATGGAAACTTTAGCATTGAAGTCTCTTTTGCAGGTACCACCCCCACCCTGGAGCAACAAGCGTACTAGTGAAGGAGACTCACCGATCTTACTTGGCAAATCATCTCTATAGCAGATCTCCGATAAGAACAGATGTATATCTACATATATTATATTTATAGTAATATTTTTTATATGTCGTTATATATAATATTTTTTTGTAATGAACCAAAGCTTAGTAATGGTTGGTGTAGTCATAAGTTTAAAATCAAGTACAAAATCATCGTGGTTGAATAACAAAATCCAATGTAAGGTAATTTTAAAAAAAAAATCACGTTGAAAATATCATTTTAAAATATTTTTTTGTCACGTCATCATAATACAAATGACTAGTAAAAAATAAATAAACAAATGACAAGGACTAAAAGAAGAAGAAGAAAATCTATGTATAAGGACTTAAAAAAAATGATATTTAAAACTATATGAGTAAAATGAAAGGTAAATGAAACTATAAAAACTATAAAAAAAAATAATTAAAAAAAACTATAGAGTCTAAAATTTTATTTTAAAAAAATTCTCATAAAAAATGCCTCGTAGAAGAGATATATATGCCCACGTCATCACAACACTAATAATATACGAAGTTTTTTTGTATTGACACATAATATAATGGGGCATTGCAAATTTTCTCAAAAAAAACAAAAAAAATAAAATAAATATATATATATATATATATATATATATATAAAGGCTTACAAAAATATTTTTTAAAATTATAGAGAAATAAAAAAAATAAAAAATAAAAAAGAAGTAAAAGCAACTGTGGAAAAAAAATATTTAAACCTATAGATAATTATTCTAACCAAAATTATCACTTTAACAAATTCTCATGCAGTGCCCCTTTTATTATACCACTTCCACTCAAAGACATTGACAGCGATGTTGCTCAATTAATTTTGCAGTGCTCTTCTTATCTACATGCCGGCAAAAGTATTCAGGAATTATATGCTTAGCACTTATCAAGGCTTTTGCAAATTCTTCCTAACGACAATATCACTTAAATTAATCCAACATATAGATTATTGTTTCCTATTACATTGGAAATGATTAATTTATATATGGAAATGGAATCTTATTTACGGCATCGTTGATATGATGAATTTTAGGCAAAGTTGAGGGAAAAAACCCTTCCGAAACAATTTTCATTTCATTAATATGATTTTTTATTTTTATAAGGGGGTGTATTGGATAAGGATTTTAAAGGACTTTTTTAGTTAAAAAAAATCCTGCGGATTTTAAAAGACTTTGCAGGATTTTCATGACTTTTAAGATTTTGCAGGATTCTACAAGACTTAAAATCAGGATTTTAATAGATTCTGCAAGACTTTTAAATCAGGATTTTAATGGATTCTGTGGGATTTTGTAGAATTTTCGTGAATTTTTTACATTTGATAAGATTTCTAAAAAAAAAATTCATACATTCAAATTTAAGAAGAGTCAAAGACAAAAATAATAAAAAAAAAATAATGTCTACATAAATAATAATAATAATAATAATTCTCCATAATATTCTATCCTCTTAAATAACATTCACCCACATATATATTCATAGCTATACTAGTTCTCCAAGCATTAGCATCTTTTCGCTCTTGCTCATGGGTTTGAATAATAGGCTCAAAAGTATGATTTTCATTAACGGGTAACATCGAAGATGAAGGTTCATCCACCGCTATAATTGGAAATTCATCGAAACGACATTCTTTACGTAGAAAGTTATGTAGTGTTGCACATACTAACACAAGTTCTACTTGTGTCTTAAATAAAAATGAAGGTGCTGACTTAAAAATTGTGAACCTTGATTTAAAAATACCAAATATTCTCTCAATCACATTCCTTAAAGACGCATGACGAAGATTGGACAATTCTTTCTCATTTTCAGGGTCATTACCCTGACCTGCAAAATCTTGTAGATAATATCTTACACATCGAAATGGAGCTAAAAATTGGCGTCGATTAGGAAATCCACAATCCACCAAAAAATATTTACCTAATTACATATGCAATATATATAATATTAGTATAATAATAATTATAATTATAATTATAATTATTATTTAAAGAATAAGAATTTAGATATAGAGAATATATATATATATATATATATAT